TGGACGCAGCTAGACTTATTGATGTCGATTCAGTGACAGCTGCTCGTGGTTTCACGTCCAATGAATCATAAAGTGGAAACTCGCAGCAGAAGAGGAATTTCAGGAAGTGTGGCACCTCGACGTAGAAGGACGGTGGCATTGGGATTAAGGGTGATGTGGATTGCTTGTAATGGCGATACTCGGCGTTACTGAAAGATGATAAAAAGATATTCTTTTTTCAACTAGTTTTCCTTGATTGATACAAAGCATGGGAGTTAATAAAAATTAATGCCCTGATGAGATATCATATGAGTTATAAATCGGAGAACTTACTCGCGATATCTCTCATCAGAGGCTCTTTCCAATAGAGGCATTCCGGACAAGAATAGAATAATGAACGTAGTGAAAATTGGAGAAGCTATTGCGATCCATTCAATACCTTCGATCACGTTCAACGATATCACAAAAATACCCCACCATACCACTATTTCCCCGAAATAGTTTGGATGTCTGGATAGTCGCCATAATCCTGCAGTTAAATATAAAGTAACAGTCAATCACCAATTAACATATAAAAAGATGTCAACAAAATTACAAAATAGTAAAGATAACAATCAAGAAGATTAGTATAGAAAATGTACCATCATTACACCATTTTCCATTATTTACTGGATCCTGTTTGAAAGAAAATTTTTGTAAATCGGCATAAGTTTCAGCTAATAAACCAGTCACGAAGAGCCCCGTACCAGCGCTGTCTAACGTTGTCATAGTTTTAGGAGCAGGCGGTATTTTGTGCCGTGGTGAATTCATGATAATTACTGGTAAACTTACCACGTAAACCCATACAGCCTGAAAATAAATTTGTTATAGGTTTAATAAATAATTGATTATAACTAAACTTCGCAATTTTGGGAATATCTATTACTTGAAACGTCCAAAATACAGCGAATCGAATCACATTACTGCGCCGATCTTCAAACCTTTTGTCACGGCCAATTTTGATAATTCGATATAGCAAATATCCAGAAAGACGGACACCCCATAAACAAACGAATATGGTGACCATGAGTTGCCTACTGTCATAAGGCTGTAACAGAAGAGAGCTTATTAATTATTTATAAACTCAAAGATTTTGTTATTGCAATTCATAATTTATAGTTACAAATAATTTGAATTTTCAATAATATCTAGTGAATTTTCTAAACCGAATTAATATATTGTAATATATTATAAACTTACTATAAGACACTTTCCCTAAATATCATAGCATCAATAGTGTTACTTGAGACTGAGAAGAAATGTTCAAATTATCTTACAACGATGGCATTGATGGCGGCTGCAAATCTTTTTGAAAATAAATGGCCGTATAAAAATAAACTATAGCGACTTGAATGTATATCTCCGCGTGTTTCCGATTAAATGATTCGATCTGGCGTTCATTTGCATGTACACGAGCATGGAAGCGGTTTTATAATTAGAATACCTTGCCCACTTGACCGAGAAAGAAAGTGAGAAGGGCGAGGATGATGAAGTTCGTGCCGCCGGCAAAATCCGTCAACTTGTCCAGCTGGAAGGTCGCCGCGATCGTGAAGAAGATGATTTGCATGCCGACGGTGACGATGGCGCTCACCGCGAAGTGGTCCTCGTCTAAAATATCGACCGCCATTGATCCTCGTTGATTGCCTATCCCCGCGCTCGATGAACTATTTTCAAATCTGGAATCGTTAATGAAGACGATACATGTATGTATGTATGTATATATATATATATATGTATATATATGTATATATATCATATGTTCTGCTAGGTAGAAATATCCAATTTTGTGCTTACAGAAGAAAGCTTTTTATCACTTGTTAAGTAATTAATTAATGTATAAGATAATTTTATACTTATTTTTTATCTTTTAGATTATAATTTACTTTGTGATTCTTACAATTATTTCTATGTGATTGAGCATTTTATAATGGGCTCTTAATGTTTATATATTTATATATTTTATATATTTAGTTTATATATATATATATTTTCTTTAATATATATATATATATAAACTAAATATATAATATAATTAAATATAAACTAAATATATAATATAATTAAATTTTTTTAATCGCTTTCGTAATTATAAAATAATTAAATGTCACATAAAATGTCACATAATTTGTTGAAGTTTACAGTTTCTTTTTTTAAATTTGCTTTGATTTTCTAATCATTTATTTGTAATTGGAAATGACGAAAGAATTAATAAAATGTTAATAAAGTAAAATAGTTTTAAAAAACAATAATTGATCAAATAAAATCTCTGTATTTTTATAATGTTTTAGTTATAACTAAATTGCAATGGCTTATAACAGAATTGATATAGAAGTTGATAGTCATGCGTAGTTGCAGCATTATAACCAGTAAGTAGTATAAGTAAGAGTATGATCGGACTTGAGAGGATTATGTATTGATATATACATAAGTCAAATATCTGATATCTTTCTGATTCTTTCTTATATAAGCAACTTCGATATCGAAATGTTTCTCATTTATCAATTATACTAGCTCGTGCATACTTAATTTGCATTATTTTATAAGAATAATGTGTTTCTAAAAATATATCTACCTATTTGAGACTAAACAAAAAGTTTAAGAGTTTTTTTCAACTTGTAGTAATTTTTAGCAAGATATTAAAAATAACGTAAAGTTGTCAATTTAAATTGAAAATGAGGAAAAAGAATTAAGTAAAAATTTCAAATTTAAAAACGAAAATTTTTTAATTATAAATTAATTTTTATTTAAATTTAAATTGTGTTAAAAAATATTGTTACTATACTATAATATACTATAATATAAAATATTACTTTAAGTAATATTTTTCATTGTATATCTTTTGATTTCTGCAACAAAATTACGATTATTCTAACTGGCACTGCAACGTAGAGCGTCGCAATGCAGTTCATTTTGCTCAATATTCTTGCAAAAAATATTGAAAAAAATGCCATTCTTTTCATGACAAATACTCGTAACATTTAAATAACTTTTTTCAACCGATGCATTGTAAATATGCAAAATATTTTCAGTCATGAAAAAGTCAAAGAATAAAACTATTTCTACTTACCGTCCCTTAATTCGAAATTTTTGCATCGTACAATCACAATTCGATCGTTTAACCAATCGTAAAATTTGATCAACCGTACAACATACCCTCCTTTAAAAAAGGGGAAAAAAAATAAAAAAAATGTTATGAAGTATCAATTATTTATTCAAAACAGTACGCGTTTCCGGAAGTTCACATTCCGTACTGTCACTTTCAAGAAATTTCTAGCATTTCTTAATATCAATATGACAACTGGTGGAAGCAATTTGTTCGATATTATCAATGAAAAACAACGCGAGCACCATTCACGAGCTCGATTATCGCCGAAAATCAAAACTCGAAATCGTTAAATGTTATTCGATTAACCATCTTCAAGTTACGCATTGAACACACTACTTTTCAGATGAATGCGAATCAAACGAGCCACTGTCACCTCAGCAATGCCACCAAGAAATATCAACGAATCCAGAATATCTCTATATCTCGAATTTTTGGTTAACAAAAGAAGCACAGAGTTTGTGCGACGGTATATACATCGTTTGAAGGGAAACAACGATTACCTCGATAGAGAGGAATCCCATCGTAACTGGCAGAACGGGTGGACCTGCTTCCACCCGCGACGACAGGCAGCGGCAGGACTACGAGGGGATTCAATGTCGAGTCTAAAACGAGAAACCCATGATCACGTGCTATGAAACGACTGCGAGCGCATCCGGCGCTCTTCTTCTAGTTTCATCCTTCTCTTGTTAAGCTACGCGTCTCCCTTTGCTTAATACTCTATGGTGTTGACCTATTGAGTTTCCTGATTCAACCATTTGACATTCACTATTCTTATAATTATTTTCATAGAACCCTTTCTCGTGATTATTTTATCATCAATGCTCTTATTTGAGAATTTTATTTTGCTTTAAAAAGATAAATTTAATAATCTCTATTAAAAAAAATTTATTGGGAAAGAATTGTTTGATTCTGTTATTCAGAATGATTTTAAAAAGGAAAACAAGGAATTGAAGAATGACAATTTACTTTTTTATTGTTTTTATAGATATATATTTATATATTGCATATGGGGGAATATATAGATATTACTTTTGATAGGTATAGACAATGATTTCACGATAGATGTTTTTTGTTCGCTTTTGAATAAAACATACGTGTGTGATTGTTTCCCTGTTTTCCGCACAGTTATTTTATTGCGATTGCTTCTTTTTCTCAGAGTGCTGTAATCCGCGCCTATTCAGCATTGAATCAATACGTACACGCGAGCGCGAATGAGTTTCCAGTTAAATGGAGTATGGCGCATTACACTTTTCATTTCTATTGTACTGATAAAGATAATGCGCATCCTTTAGTCATCTTTTGAAATATTCATTTCGTATTGAACTTGAATATCTGTATTTTTACGATCATATAAAAATGGATGAAGATAAAAATAATTAGTAGATTCTTTTTTTTTTTTTTTAAGTCGAATTAAGAATAATTTATTTTGATATCGTACATTATATTATTATAATAGTAACTTTACAAACAATAACATATGTATGTCTTATCTCGATCCCGCACAGTGCGTACATACAGTTAGTTCCGAAGTATCTTCTTATAAACATTATAAAATTTAGTTTAATGAAAATAAATGATTATAATAGTAATGGTATTTCATGATTGCGCGTTGAATTTTGGTCTTACTTCACAATAAAAAAAATAGAGATCCATTATATATATATATATATATGGAAATGTAATTTTTAACTCGCAGTGCTCTTTTATTTTAAATTAATGGCAAAACAACATAAAAAATGTAGCAAGCTTTCTTGAATCGTATTGAAGTTTTGTTTGGAGAATATTCTTGACTTCTCTTAATTCATTTCAACTGCACTGCACAGCTCATTCCAATTGCTCCAGTTTCTTCTTAAATTAATAGTACTTATTTTCAGTCTTAAGACCTAGTATATTTACCCCAGATGTGTAGCATGAAAACAGATGCAATAAAAAGCAGAGACATGACAAGTACAGGCACCGGTCCTCTGTAAATAGATACTGTGATTATTGATGTCTCTTATTTAATATTTGTCTTTTGATTTTAGCGTATATTTTAGGTTTACTTACACTTTGATGCCAGGAGAGTCATCGGTATAAAACCTCCACATGCCATCAGAACCAGCTCCCGTGTTTCTACTTCTGGTGGAAGTAGTTGTCGCAGTTTTCCTTTGTCTAACTGTACCACCACCACCTGTTCTAGGTGTTATAGCTTTACTGGGCGACCGGCCCATAGCTCCAATTGAAGTGCAACTAGGTGCGACAGGCTTGAAAATGAAATATAATCATAAATATTTAGAAAAAACAAAAATTGTGCTTATATAAATCTTATGAGAACACTTACCATCGTTTGTTATATCTTTCTGGCGTCCGTTCGTGAATACTTGAATACGAAAAGTTTGTTTTATAATTTACAATTTTGCAAACTAGCGATGGATTAAGATCTAAAAGATTCGCTTCACTTTATTAAAATGTCTGTTGTTATCTTATTGCGAACATTAAAAAAATGTTGGAACAAAGTTGCTGGATATTATTATATCGTACGAAACCAACCTCTTTCTACTTGTTAGTTTATTGGCAGACTGGCAATATAGAAGACAGTATAAAGCAACGTGTCATATATACAACATCCACGTAGTGAACTCTAGACACGTCATCATACGCTGTAAATTTATGGTGACGCACGAGAGTCAATCTTTATGCTACGTTCTCATGTAAAGAATTTCAACAAATATTTCATCAAATTGTAATTATATTCAGTTGTTTGATTTATATAATTTATTTATGGAATATATAATTATTTTGAAAGAAGTAATTAAATGAATAATTGCTTCAAATTAAATTTTATGGAGATTATTTAATCATAAAATAAATAAAACATGGCATGGCAAATTTATTTATAAAATATAATCCTGTACCGAGAAATGATCTTTTTCGTTATTAAATTTAATTAAGATTAAAATTATGAAAAACATAACTAAATTTTAAGATATTTCGATACGTATGATAAAAATAATATGGAAGATTTGAAATTTCACGAAGCGTTAATGATTTAACTTTAATACTTTAAAATACTTTAATAACTTTAAAATAAAACAAAAATATAGTGATGATAGTACATTTATGTTATTTACACAATATATGATCATTAGTTTGTTCTCTATATTAATTATATTTTTGGTAATAAATAACATATAACTTCTATATAAATGCAGATTGAAATAATGCATATAATTTGTCATATTGTAATTCTATACAAAAGATTAAATTACTACTGCATACACAGTGATTGCACGCATAATAATTTATGTTTTATTTATTTCATTTTTTAATCTTTTTCATGTTTTAGTAGACTAGTTATAAAATTATGACAACATATTACATTATCTCTTACAGAAACAGTTCATATTATGATTGCGTTAGCATTTTGGGATATAAAAGAAAATCATATGTATTGTTACAGGAACTTTTCCTTTTTCCGTTAGCTTATTATATATTTTTAGCCAATTTAAGATAAAAAAGATACAAAATGTTGTTTTCGTTTACGTATAAAAACTTTACGAGAATGCATAGAAACATTCATTATCGATTAAAGTAAAAACTTTAAATATAATATTTAATATTTCTATTTAAAGTATAAATATAATCTCAATAATTTCTTCTCAACGCCAATAAAAAAAAGAATATTTTGTAAATGCTTGTAAATGCATTAGTTGCATATAATATACAATACTTATTCATTAAATATACCCTTTTAAAGGTAACAAAACAATATTTATTTATTATTGTATGATCGTTTCAGTCAATGCGTATATTAAGTTTTAAATGCATAGATTCGAAGTATTTCATACAAGTCTTATAGCAATATACTAGCAATACAAAATTTTGTAAAGGGTATGTTGCATGTCTAAGCTACTGTAACTTCATTATGCTTTGGCATTCTGTTGTATTTTACAATATAGAAATACTTAAAAAATTAAAATATTATGACTTTTCTCATCCATATAATTATTTCTTTTGTTAAAAGAAACGATCAAGAAATTCGCTTCACGTTTTTATCATTCAAATATTTTTCCTGTTGTATGTAAATATATACAAGACGGTAAGAAATATTCATATGGATCCGCGCAACAGTTATTGTTTGGCACAAGAAATATTGTTACAAATTTCGATATACAATAAACATTATACAGTGCGATTTTTACGCAGGCACATGTAAATCATGTTTTTGAAGCATAATTTTACATAATAATAGCGTTATCAATCGTCATCTGATATAAGAAAAACATTTCCATACAATCTTTCTTTTTTTTCAACAATAATGGACCATAACTTTTATACATATCTATCGTTCTAATGCTTGATTCTTATTGCAATTAGAAACAGATATTATGCCTGCAATATAATTATAACAATCAATGGATATCCATCAATTAACATTTATGCTCTTATTTTAATTGGAATAGTAAATAATTATTAGATATAACATTTATAAAGTAGAAAGTAAAGTACCAAGTATTTAGTCATTTTGTGAAAACTAATTTAAAGATATCTTACTAATGGTCATAATCTAATATGATATTTGGCAGACATGTAGCTCCAATAAATTGACTTTGTTATTGTATAGAGCAAAATAAATATTTTTCTTAGACCAAACATATCTCTTATTTGATATTTAAGTACTTGTTACTCCTTTACGTGCTACTAATAGATTTAATACTGGATGCTTTCTAATATATGACACTGCTTTCTTATGCGTTACCATGGTAAAATCATACCCATTACATTGTAAAATTTTATCATGCATACGAAGCCCGCTCTTTGCTGCTGGTGATCCTTCGTGTACTTCAGTTACGTATATACCCTAAAATATTGTAAAATGTCAGTTAATAACATTCAATAGAATTGTATTTATGATATCTAGGTCAATCTTCATTACATTATCTGTATAACCCTGAGGACTTTTTCTAAAATCTTGATCAATACCACCTCCAATTTTGAAGCCACACTTCATCACTTCTTCCCCATTTTCATTAACATCCGTTTCTTTGACTAATATAATTGGTATCTAAAAATAAAACAAAGTGTATCATAATATCTATTCATAAATCAATAAAGTATCTTGTTGAATAATACTAATCTTTCTTATCACTATCACTATATCAAAGTTTCTATCAATTGTTAAAAAAGGAAGAAGGATTTGAAAATATCATACATTGTCAAAAGACAAAGGAATAGAGTTACTTATGAAATTTAGTACTTAAAAAGTATCTCATAATAATCAAACAAGTATCTCTAATGCTTTAAAACATTATTTTATCGTGGACAAAATATATTTACACTTAAGCATTCCATAGCGGTGCCAGCTTGATGCTGAAAAGCCATTTTCGCGCACATAATGATGAATCTTGTGTCTGATGAGATCAGATTGACAATTGCTTCTGATGATTTAATGTGATCACCAATTGCTTACACACTGTAGGCACAGACGTAATGAATGCACTACTATTTAAAGATATGTGTACGAAAATGTATTTGAAAAAATGTGTTAAAAGGCAATAAAAAAAACTCTGATTTGCCTGAACGTGTGTAGAATCAGATAATACTGTTAAGCTTGGTATAGCTTTGTTAAGATTACTTAAAACAATTTCGTTGACAGCCATATGTATTGGTCAATGTAGATAGGAAAATATCGCTGCAATAGAATGCATCGTAGAAAATATACAGTGGCGTTTGTAGCCGCGAAAATATGAATTCCTTATCATTATCAAATATATACGTTTTTGACGTGCATTTCAAACCATATAAAATACATAAAGGAAGATAGTTGAGACTCCATTTAGACAGATGAAGCTACGAAAGATCTCAAATTAATTTAAAATTCCAATGTAGTTCGCGGGAAATTAAATGTTACTCTTACCATTGACAAAGCATAGACTAGACATCCAATCCTTTTTCGTGTCTCAAGTTTTGGGGGTCATGTGACCCCTTTACCATTTCCATGTCACATTCTGTCATATCGACTTAGGCAAGTATTGCACTACAGCGCTATTAGCGATATAAATTAAAATAAAAAAATATGGACAGCGTTGCCGTTTCCTCATCGAAAATTATTTATTGAATTAACACATCTGAAAATTATTACCATAATGTGGATTTCAGCACACGGAATAGAAGGCAATGAATTGGCACACAAAAAGGTAAAGAAAGCCTCAACACATAATACCTTACCACTCTCAGATCCCTATCTTTTTATCTATCGTTTTTATCTTTTTTTTCATTTCTTTCTTTTTTACATTTTTATATCAAGTCACTATTCTCACGTATACTTTATCTTGTGATCTGTATATATATCGTCCATGTATCTTACAAGCTATACAGGATGTAAGAATATATAGCACATAGTTCAAGCAGGCCTGAAGCTAATTAAATAAATAAATAAATAAAAAATGACTAAATTTTCATTTACAAAAGAAAAAATAATTACAAGAATTAATTTATCAATTTTTGTAATGGTATCTAGGTTTTTGGACCTTAAGCTTTCTTTTTGTGCTTCATTTGATCTGGGTAGTTTATGAATGAAATTTTTCTATTGAATAGATCAAAACACTTTGTTGGTTAGACAAGCCTCGCAGTAGTGTGAGGCAAGGACATACTTATGTAGTTTTTGTTGTATAACTACAGATTAGTTTTTGTATAATATGTATAACTACAGATTAGTCATAGACTTCGGTAGAACTAGATTTATTTCATCACTTTTATTCAGAGTATAATACATTTTTATTTCAATAAATAGGAATAAAGGAATTTTCTATGAAGAATAAAGGTTGAAGGGATGTAGAGTGAAACTTGACTGCGATAAATGTCTGTTCCTCTTTATTAACAAGCTGAGTTAGCATATCTTGTGAAAGTCTGACATTTCGATAAGACATTCGATTGTTTTATTCTTTTTTTTTTTTCGCGCAAACCATAACGGGTTTCGTCCATGGATAATTATTACGAGGATATGATACATGATTTCTAAGGTTCACGGGTCTCACGTATTATACAAATAGTTCGCTCGTTCGCGATAGCTGACGAGTTCCTATATCACACGCATGCATTCATCGCACGCACATTCGAAAAACTCATTAGCACTAATGTTTCTTTTCTCGCCCAAATTTTTCATCTAACTACGATCACGTTCCTTTTTTTTTTCTTTTTTTTTTTTT